TAAAATACATTTGTACAACTTACTTTGTTTGAAAAGAATTGTTTGTTCCCCTGTGATCCAGGTCATGACATAATGAAGCTACAATTAATCCCAACTTCTCGTTTTCATTCATTATGTGATACATATTCCCCGTCTAAATTATGAGTTAATTATTGAATTAATAAAATATTACTTTAACAGTGTCACCTATTTACAAAATGTTTTATAAACATTTGCTTTTATTAATTTGTTTACTATTGTACTAACACTTTTAAAAGTTTAATATAATATATCGTTATATTTCCACATAAATTATTATAATCAGGACTTATATTAATATAAAGTAGTAAACATTTAATATTTTCCTTTAATTTATTATTATATTTAATTTATTGACTTAACTGTCAAAATAGCAAACATTGTTTGCGTTACATTCAAAGCATGTCTCCAATTATGATATGTTACCTAAAAATATGAATTTTGATGTATTAAATTTTGAAGTATTGCCTAAAATAGCAACAAACTTACGGGTCTATAGTTCTTCTTTACACTGAGAATCCATCGACAGAGGACCTATCGTTCAATCATATAATGTATTCATACTGTACTGTATATATTATATAATATATAGTATATTATATGAGTTTTAGGGAACCAGATAGGCGCTAGCTATTTTGGTATATAATTAATAATTTGACTCAGAATTCAATTATTCATACAATATTCATAGTTTTTATTTCAAAAAATATTTATTATTAATTAAATAAAAATAGCTAGCGCCTATATGGTTCTCTAAAGCTCATATACTATATAATGTAAGCTCAATCAACATAACTTGTGTTGTAGCCCCTGAAAGGTTTGTATCATTTGTATTGCACTTGCCATAGAAGGTATATCTTACATTGAATCCAATACAAATGATACAAATCTTTCAGGGACTACAACACAGGTCATGTTGATTGAGCTTACTACATACAGAATATCTGGATAGTACAGAATCGGTTGATTCAATATCTTTATATAAGTTTTCTTATACTAACTCATTTACATTCGCTTATATGATATAATAATTATTGAAGCTTATACAGTATCTGTATATGAATAATTATACTGTAATAACAGTGTTGTTATTATTATTACCTGATATGGAATTTTAAAAGTATTGATAAGTTTGAGATCTAAGAACATCCTAAGAGTTGCAGAACAGGTGTCCCTTTCATCCAAACAAAAATCCGAGAATTCAAACGAATATAACTGATAATAGTTTGCGTCAGGAATGGACAAATTCTGTCAATTTAGACATTTCTCATTATATCATGTTTTTAGTATTGTATTCATTAATACAAACCATAAGTATTTTTGTTTCATCGATTGAGGCCGAGGCGTGATATGAGAGCACTTCGAGCGCTACTTTCTGTTTGGCCGTCAGTTTGAGTGCCTTCTCATACAAACATGAGTTATGAATCCCAAAACCACAGAATATCGAGAATGCCTTCAATTATAAAACAAACATATTTATAGTCTGTGTAATCCGTACATAAAATGTCATTTTGGTAAAATTTTATATTTTATATAAAAGGTAATCTCGTTAATAGACAGTTCATAAAGTGTAATTTTAAAGATATTAATAATTTATACGAAAATTGTGTAGTTTAATGGCATAATTGTAAATTCATTATTAGTTTGTAATAAAAATATAAAAATTCTAGTATCTTTAGGGAAATCTCAAGCTTTGTTTAATAGAGTATAAGATAATTGTTATAAAACTAATTTTGAGTATGAAATACTAACATTCAAAGCAGTGACAAGTGAGTGCAAAAAATGTCATTTCACTTATTAAGTGAACCAAAAAATAATTGTTTTATAAGAAGTTCTTATTTTCAAAGAATGAAACTTATTTAACTATAATTACAATAAATATAGAAATGTTAAATGTAAATCTAGCTTTAGTACAGTACAGGTAAACTAAAATGGATTATTAATAAATACCTCGAGAGTGGAGATGTCGACGTCATTGAATTGGTGTCCTTTGATTTTGACCAGTTGTGACACTCCTATCACTTTGGACTCGTTGTTGAAAATGGGAACCGAAAGCACGCATAGACACATTAGGCATGTATTTTACAGTAAAACCATTTTAAAATATAAAATATATTTTCCATTAGAGCAATTATCTGTCAAGTATTTCACATTAAAATTTCTATAATTATTAAATATGCTTTTAACACAGTTTAATGGCATAATTGTAAATTCATTATTAGTTTGTAATAAAAATATAAAAATTCTAATATCTTTAGGGAAATCTCAAGCTTTGTTTAATAGAGTATAAGATAATTGTTATAAAACTAATTTTGAGTATGAAATACTAACATTCAAAGCAGTGACAAGTGAGTGCACAAAATGTCATTTCACTTATTAAGTGAACCAAAAAATAATTGTTATAATAAAAAATATTATAATTACAATAAATATAGAAATGTTAAATGTAAATCTAGCTTTAGTACAGTACAGGTAAACTAAAATAGATTATTAATAAATACCTCGAGAGTGGAGATGTCGACGTCATTGAATTGGTGTCCTTTGATTTTGACCAGTTGTGACACTCCTATCACTTTGGACTCGTTGTTGAAAATGGGAACCGAAAGCACGCATGATTATTAATAAATACCTCGAGAGTGGAGATGTCGACGTCATTGAATTGGTGTCCTTTGATTTTGACCAGTTGTGACACTCCTATCACTTTGGACTCGTTGTTGAAAATGGGAACCGAAAGCACGCAATCGTTGTCACAAACTATTCCGGGTCTCTCTATTTCCTGTAATTAACACTTTTTCAAATAATCCTTTCATTCGACACTCAAATGTAAGCATTTAGTCAAAAGCCTACCGAACTTTTGATCAATTTATCCCCACTTTCAAATTTGCCATAATTTTCATTGCATTTGTAAGTCTAAAATTGATATTTCTTATCAAATAATATACACTTACAATTGTGCTCACAAGTCATAAATACCTGTCCAGCAAAAGCTACTTGTTTTGCGTATCGTACATGTGATCCATCAATCAGTGATTCAAATTCGTTTATTTCTCTGATTGTTCAAATAATATACACTTACAATTGTGCTCACAAGTCATAAATACCTGTCCAGCAAAAGCTACTTGTTTTGCGTATCGTACATGTGATCCATCAATCAGTGATTCAAATTCGTTTATTTCTCTGATTGAAAAAAATTATATATTATATAACAATTATATATTTTTAATCTAAAAACTTTAAATTTCGAGTTTAATTAGTCCTATAATATAAATTTATAATAAATACATGATATACATGTTGGCTATAATTTAAGTGGAATATTTTCAATATAATACTGTCTTTTATTTATGGAAAGTCCGTACGATAAGCGCGTTGTAAGTCCGTACATTGTTTCGTTAACGGTTTATAAACAATCGTTAATTTTCTACGGACTTCTCATAAATAACAGACAGTATGATTGCTTCTGAAAATTTTGTCTTATTGGTAAAGTGGTAACTTATACTTTTACAAAAATACCTTTACTTTTCTAAGTGTGGGATTTATATACAAGTTTCTCATGTATAGTATACAGTATAATAATTGTTTTAAATGTTCTATTTAGTCTTAGTTATCTGAGAAATTAAATTAGACGAATAGCTTATTTAAAATCTTTGAAATATTTTATATTTTTAAAAGTTATCTGTTTTAATAGTCAATATCCTTATTCAAGTCAGCCTTATTTGAAATTTAAAGTAGTTTAATTTAGAAAAAATATTTTTAAATGTATTCTAAGTCGGACGTAGGTTGAATTGCTGTCCAAAAGAAAAAATGTATAGATATAATACACAAGGTATTAATAGTTTTGCTAGGAAATGGCATTCCAATGGTACGAAGAATATTTTAAATAGAATTATTATTATACTCTGTACACTCTGTGATTTTAGTAATCATTTCCTAATTAATATTGACAAATATAAAATTTTATATTCATTTCAATTATATTCTAATAGAATATTCTATCTGAAAAATATATTAGAATATTTACATAATAAACATACTGTATCTTCTATATGTTAACATTGGAAAAAGATTTATAGTACTGTATATAGAATATTCTGTAGTGCATTGGAATCTGCTTTTATGCGAAAAATGATCAGAATTTTAAGAAAATTTATTTGTAAAATTAAAAATAATATTAATATTGGAACAAAGCAATTCATTTTATTATATGACTATTGATAGATGAGTATTAGATAATAATATGAGTACAGAATGAATCAATTCAAAATACATGGTAAATTATACAAAAAAAAGTAAATACATTTCATGAAACTTACGATAATTTTAAAATTTCGTTGCTTCCTATTTTTAATTCAAAAACAGTTGAAAACATAATGTCCTGAAAATAATATTATTTTAATATTTATTATCTTATATTAATTATTAAATGACATAGTCTAATTAAAGTAGTAGAGAAATAAATAAGCTTACCTCAAGACTGACATGTTTGGTAACGGTTTGAGTCACATTCAAATGACTTCGCATGGCTTCACTGTATTCTTCCTAAAATCAATTTATTTAAAATAAATAAAATTATAATTTTATTTTATTCATAATACAGTAGCATAGTGTTATGGATTGAAAAAATTTCGTATATTAATATTAAAACCCTGCATTTGACAGCTTACAAGTAGATTAAGTTTTTAAAACTACTCTATAAATAAAAAATATTGATATAACCATAATACTGGAAACACTTCAGAATAACTTTATATTACTCCAAATTATTTTATATTTATTTTAGACATGTCTAAAAATTTAATAAAGATTAAACAATACCTGAAATTGTTGGCCTTCGATGTCCACCAAATAGACGCGGCATTTATCACTGTGAAGAAGTCCCTGGGCTTTGATCATAATCTTGTTTATTAAGGCGTCCAAAGAGGATGTCTCTTGGAATATGGATCTTGCTAAGCTCAACAATAACTTCATTTTCATTGTTTCATAATGTATTCAATGTATAAAATTAGAATTTGTATATAGTATTTTAAAATTTTAATTTGCTTTTAAAGTTCAACGATGGACTAATATTTAAAATTAGTTAAAATTATAGACAAACGCTAAAGTCAAAATCACAATTACTACAACATTATAGTAGTTACTATAGGATTACTATAGCCAATAGCATTTGAGTCTAGTTTATCATCACTGATAGTACATAGGATGCATATTTTATATAAATAATTTACCTGGTTTCGTTTATATTCGTTAACTGACATTTCAAACAACTGGGCGTTTTGGAGACCTATTCCACAAAATGTCAAATATTTTTGAAAAACCTATTATGAGTGAGCAAATATTTGAATTAATTACAAAAATGCATTTATTAGATTTCAATTGCTTCACTTTTCATTCAATTTATAGAATACCTGTTCATCGCGTTTAGTAAACGATTGTTGCAATGAATGGCTGTTTTTATTGATACATTGGGCCACTCCTATCACATCCCCACTGAAGTTCAATATGGGCTGGCACATCTGACAGTAAATATGTCCAACATTTATCATTTCTATTTTCATACTCTTTATTTGATTAACAAATTATTTATTAATTACAAAAATATTAACATTAGATTTTAGAATATACTGTATTATATAAATATGGGACACATTTATACGAAATAAAGACAATCCAATGACTGCTAAAATATCGATAGTCATAGGAATCATACACTATAAAAGATTCATAGATTAACAGTCACTTCGATTGTCATTATTTTGTAAACCTGTCATATTATGTGGTTCATTTTTACGTTTAAGGTTTTTAAACTTTTCTGACTACTATTTTTATAATATTACTCACAATAGCTTTCGTATGATAACCGGTGCGAAAATCCACTTCTTTATTAAATCTGTTGTCCTAATAATTTAAAACAATCAATATTTAGTGTTAGTTTTAAATATTTGTATTTAAAAATATTATCGTTTTTAAAAAAATCAAGAAAATTATTTTTTAGAGTTAATTCAGTATTGAATCCAATAATTTTATTTTAAAAAGTTTTTTATAGGAATCAATATAATAATTTGAATTTATATTTAAATGTGGTATAATATTAACGAGGCAATAATTCAACTTTGCTTTAATATTACATTGCTAATTTTAAATATTATAGATTAAACTTTTAAGTTCATATCTGGATATAATGAACTAGATATACTGTATATGAGAGACGACAAATATATTAAACTTCATGTTTTGAGAAAAATCTTAAAGGGCTTAACTTTTTTATTGCATACAAATATATTTTAAACACCAAATATTTTGTAGTTAAGACATTTTAGATTTTACTAAAAATATGAAAATATTTCATGTATCTATTGCCACTGATATACTGTATAAATACAAGTACTTTTATTTTAAGTTTTTAATTAACTGATAAAAATAGTAATTTATAATGTTGGTACAACTAGACAAGTATCGGTAATAATGAAAAATTACTTTAATACAATATTAATAATCAAATAATATTTTAAATATCTATATTATAGATTCTATAATATTCTCGAAATGATGAAAGTCAAACACAAAACGAAAAATATTTTTTGCTATAAAATATATAAAAGCATTTCCTTGTTTAACAAATTGAAAAATATGAGACAAGTATTTACTAAATACCTGATAAGCATCTGTAATGTTGACGTTTTCCTTAGTGAGGGCCACATGTCCTGCGATTCCACTTCCTATCAATTAAATAAAACTCTTTTTCACCATATCTTACATTATATTACAGTCAGTCGTGAGCTACAAGTGTTCACTAGCGAATATGTTGTAAACGGAAAAAAGGGCACTTTAGTGGACTCTCATCACATTGAGTGAATGCAGTTTTAATTATGATATTATGATTGATTATTATAGAACTTTGGACGAGGAGTCCGAATATTGGATTTATATTGTCCGGTGACCTCGGGTTCGGCCGCAGTGACCACTTTTATCGCGAATTGTTTCCGTTATAAATATACACATGTGATATATCATTTCAATAGAGATTTTAATGGAGAATATGAAGATATATGTAAAAATTATAAAACCCAAGATTTAAAAAAAATATTGTGATTTTTCACATTTTTCGTCACTAATTCGGCATTATTTGCATGATTAGTCAAGTTTATAAAAGTTTTATACATACCATCGTATTCTCCATTAAAATCTCTATTGAATTGCTATATCACATGTATATATTTATAACGGAAACAATTCGCGATAAAAGTGGTCACTGCGGCCGAACCCGAGGTCACCGGACAATATAAATCCTATATTCGGACTCCTCATCCAAAGTTTTATAATAATCAATCATAATATCATAATTAAAACTGCATTCACTCAATGTGATGAGAGTCCACTAAAGTGCCCTTTGTTTTCCGTTTACAACATATTCGCTAGTGAACACTTGTAGCTCACGCTTGATTACAGTATATTATATGTATATTAGTATTTTTATTTATAGTTACAATATTGCATTTAACTAAACCTAAAGGTAAATTGATAAATTTCAAAGTCCAAATTCTACTGTATATCTCGAATAATTAAATAAATAGGTGTTTTACAATCATATTCCCAAGTCAAATTCTCTTTTCAATGATTTATATACTTTCTGTACTTTTCACCAAATTCTCTGGTAATTAAAAATAAGTTATTGAAAAAACATTTTAAATAATATTCCTAATTATATCTGAGCTAATATTACAGATAAATGTCATTTTACCATTACATAAATAGCTTGCATATTTTCCTGTAGTTTAAAATCTAGTATGTACTACAGTTTAAAATTATATACTAGTATGTTTATAAGAATAACTAAAGGTAATATTGAAAAATAAAAATGAAGCCTAATCTGAACATTACATGAAATATTTACTCATTAAAGTTTAATGATTAAACCATTGAGTGCCATAGTGTAACATAGGGTCCATTTCCCTATGTTTTACTCTTAGTAAATAACACTTTTAGTAACTTTTGGCAGTCGATGCATTAAACTTTTCATACTATATTAATGTTTATTCTCATAATATGCTGTATATAATACATATGTATATAATATATACTATATAATACAGTAAAATATATATTAGCATAATAACCGTGGAATAAAAGGGCTGAATTTATTCACATTAATAAAATTAATTCTTAAATCCAAAAATATTGTATTAACATTACTGTACTATTAAAGTTTCTAAATTGACATGTCTTCTAATATATATTTCTTATTTGCATTGTTCTGTTCCTTTAATTAAAATATGTTTTTACATACAGTAGATAGTTACATGTTGAAAAATTCGAGAATATCAAATTATAAAGTAATATTGTTTAATATTCTACATATATTTAAGTATAAATAAATGAGAAATAAGTATTAGAAAACTGACCGAAAGGGAGGGGAAGGTGTGTGTGAAGTTGTGCGGCACTCAACGCATCCTTTAGGAGACTGTCTGACGTGACATCAAATAGTTTTGCCTCCAAATAGCGGTTATCTCGACTGCCTTTGGCCAGGAATAGAGACCCTCTGTCGCTATTCGTCAATATACTGACATTTACTAAGATCTTGTGGCAAAGAGTATTGATATCGAGTTCATTAGTGATATCACTGATGAGTTTCATAAATAAGTCCACTTCATCCAAACCCTGCAACTTATCCTCCAACTCATCCCTCACCACTCTATCGCCTATCGATTATTTGTACATAAGTTATGGATTACATGAATGCAAACAATTGGTTGTCTA